CCCTTATCCTCCCCCCCTCCCTCCCTTACCTTCCCTCTGAAGTTTGAGCATCTGATCAATGCTTCTCTGTCTCTGGATCTGTTTTTATTCATTGGTTTATGTTGTTCATTATATTCCACAAATGAGTGAGATCATGTGATATTTATCTTTTTCCGACTGGCTTATTTTGCTTAGCATAATGCTCTCCAGCTCCATCTATGCAGGAGGGAGAATTCTTGAATCAAATCTTAAAATATTGAGAGGAGTCTTCTAGGTAGGCAAGATGGGGTGACAGTGAGAGTATTTGTGGGCAGAAGAAAAAAAAAGTGTGAGCAAAGGCACAGGGTTGTGGTGCATTCAGGAAACTCATGGCAGGAGCATACGAGGAGACAGCAAAAGATGAGCGAGAGAGAAAGTCCTAAGGAGCTTGGACTTTTCCCCTATAGGTAACAGGGGCCTGGGAGGGGGAGAGCACTTTAGATAGCGGATTCTGTTGGCTATACAGAGGGTGATTGTGGGCACCAGAAGGCCAGTCAAGAAACATCCTCTTGTTCATGCTCTTCACTGTGAGCAGCCAGGTCTGAACCCTTCTCCTCAAACAACCCCCTTTCTAGTCCTTCAAAGTATGCTAGATACTTCTGGTTAGAGAGCCAATGACAGGGGAGGGATAGGGCAGGCAGGTAGTTCATCCAGCCAAATGTGCAAAGCACCACTGGTATCATCCTGACACTGGGCAAAGCTCTGCAGAGCAAGTCTCATTGGGGCTGCACTGCTGAGGTTCTGTGCTCTGGCAAGGCTCGTGCACTTGTGCTCATTGGGAGGAACTGACGTCTACAGGAGCCAATTCTGCTATTTCTTGGAAGAGATGGGGAAAGAGGCTTTTGAGGAAATTGGATTTTGAGCTCCAGAAAGTAATTTGCGGTGATAATAAAATGCCTAGAGGTGACAAGGAAATGTCTGAATGGATAGGACTAATAGAATCAAAGCCATACAATCCTAGGTAAGAACAAAGACGAAGGACATGGGGGGATAAGGACATATCTAATACCTTAATCAATAAAAATTTAAAAAAAGAAAGACAAAACCTGGGGAGACAGTGTGACTGAGTACTGCCAAGACCCAGATGTCTGGCCAGGCACCCCAGCACTCCTGTTAGCCTTGAGAAAGCTAACAGCTCTCCCAACACCCACTCAGTTCATTTTTACGAGGTTTTCTGATATCTTGGGCTTCTAGTGGTTGCTATCAGGCAAGCCTTATCTCTATGTAAGGGCTCCTTTGTCTTCAGTACTGACCCCTTTGCTGGAGCCCCATCCTTTCTTGCTCTAGTCTCTTCCCAGCCCTCTAGCTTAACTCCCACTTTCTCCTGCATCCGTTATGAGGGTCATCCTTGAGCAGAGCTTCCACACTTGTTTTGGGTAAAGATTTTGCATTCATCAGCTAATTTCTCAAAGCACTCCCACCTTAAGATAAAGTTAGACATTTGCCCCTGAACAAATACTGTATGTAGTTATGAGTAACATCATATGAATCATGTAATTTAACGTGTTAAGTGCCCAGCCTGTTTTGTCTTCGGGATGGTGACTGACAGGGCTCTTAACGTGGTAAGGTCTGCTACAGAGGAAGAAACTGAAGGGCCCTGAGCCGTGCTGTCCGCAGCAGAACTGGAGGCCCCGCTGTGGATGTTGTGTGAAGATGGGATCCAGCCATCAGGTCAGTGTTCCAATCAGAGGATGTCTGCCTTCGATGTTCTAAAATGCTGGGACATATTTTCTTCACCTGGGCCTCCTCTCGGAGGGACAGCAGCTGTGAAGTCTCAGCACAGTATGGCTACAGGCCAGCTCTTTGTTCCCTTTGCACTTAGCAGCAGGATTTCCTTAGATCCCACAGAGCACTTTGGGGACTTCCTTTTGTCAGGCTGCCTTCTAGCAAATGAGAGAATGTGTGGAAGGAAGCACCCTGCAAATTTTAAAGCACCACAAACTGGTAAGGATCATCCTCCTTAGTGTGGTCCAGCCCACACACGCCAGGGCTGCTCCGTCAGTCGTCTCTCTTGACCTTAAGACAGTACTTCCTTAGGCTTCTCGCCACAAGTTGCAGTGACATCGACCATGTCATAAATAGGTGATCTAGCCCAGCCGGCATGGCTCAGCAGTTGAGCTTCAACCCATGAAACAGGAGGTCACAGTTGGATTCCCGGTCAGGGCAGATGACCAGGTTATGGGCTTGATCCCTAGTAGGGGGCATGCAAGAGGCAGCCGGTCAATGCTTCATCATTGACGTTTCTCTCTTACACTCCCTTCCTCCCTCCCTCTGAAGTCAAAAACATATTAAAATATGTGATCTAAGCACCCATCCTCTCTTCGGAGCTGTTGGGATGACAGCCACCCTGCTCTGCCAGCTGGGACCTCCTGTGGGCCCACCTCCCCCTCATTTTCTCCCGAGCTGTCAATGCTTTCTGGGTGCACTGGTAACTGGTAGACCAGCTTTTTCTCACCATATTACTGAGTGTTCTGCTAACTTGGCCCTTGTTTTCTCTAACAAACCTCTTTGCTGCAGCAGGCATCTCCAATCTTGTGTACATTGGGGGAAATGTCAGCATTTCACCACCAAGGGGGGTGCTATTTGAAGCAGTATTTGGGGGCCTGGGTGGAGGACTGAGAATGTAACTTCCACAAAGGACCTGCTATGGCCACTGGGGTCTAGAACCATCCAGAGGAACACCCGACTCATTCTGCTGAAGATTACTGAGTAGAGAACCTTTTGGCCCCCAGAGAAAGGTTTGACACACTTTTCCGACTGCTATGGCCCAACCCTTCCTTCCCAACTACTCCAAGAAGGTCTCCGAGCCACAGTTCATTGCAACTATCGTTTATTAAAAAATATATGTCTCCTTAGAAGGAACACTGGTAAACCAACTAGTGTCATGCTTACTTTGAATCTTTGCTTTTTTCTTCCCTGGGAGGGGTAGAGGGTTGAGTATCGTTCAAATTTACATCAGTTACTTAACATCAGGGAAACAACACTCCCTGCTCCCCCCTCCTCCTCAGTCATAATCAGCCATCACCACCCCCTCTCTGCCTTCCATCCAGGACAGCCCAGGGAAAGCTGCTGCCCTTTCTTTACCCTCATCTGGGCCCCACACTTTACACTGACCCTCATTATGCTGGTAGGAAAACTGTCACCAGATTTCCTAAATTTGGCTGGTAGCACTCAAAGTGTCTTCACCATGGTGTCATTTGCACTGCTCGTAACACAATGGCCGAGAAACAAGACACTAAGGGGCCAAGCACATTCACTCTCTTCTCCTTGTCATGCCTCCAGCGTGGAGGTGACTGAGGCACAGTGGCTTCAAAGGAGCACGGTGGGGAGGGGCCTGAGCCACACCTGTCACCTGCATTTGTGGTCAAAGAAAAACTTGACCACATTCACTGCCATCTGATTCTGGGAAAGGGCAACGAGGTTTCATGTGTTGCCAGTAAATGAATCTTGGCTCTCCAGCTCAAAGTGACAGCATGATAGTGGGCTTCCTCCTTGAAATAACAGTAAGCTACCAGCTGTGGGTGAGGGGGCCAGGGTAGGGCATATGAAGCAGCTTCAAAAGAAAACCAAATCAAACTTCTCCTGACAAGGCTGGCCAAGGCTGGTGCTGTCCCAGCACGGAACGGGAAGGCAAACGACTCCATCCCTGTCAGTGGCCCCATGAGGGGGCCTCGGCTGAGCCCAGCATGTCCCAGGCAGGTGAGTAAAGGGCCATATTGCAATGCAGAGCACCAGGTCCTACTCTCCCTTCTCACCAGCCCCCACTCCCTGTCCTGCTGATTCGATGGCCCGGTCACCTTCTCTGTCACAAGGCCCCGGCGACTCTACAACATCATGAGCCATTAGAACACTGTCAAACTGGATTCTACGCATTCACTTAAATAGTAAAAGCAAAATTTGGAATAATGAAAAGGCTGACACAGTAGCACAACATGGTTTTGGTTTAACAGCAGCTTAAAAATGAACAAAAAGGAAATCTCTCATGCAGACACATCAGGTGGCAAAAACAATAGGCAATTTCATATGGAGTATCATTAGCCATTCTCTCTCTTTCCATACACAGTGCTGACTGTTACTCAGGGGCAGCAGCTGCTTCCCGGTCAAGTCTCCAGGCCTCCCGGCCCAGGCCAAGCCCTCTCTGTGGGCCTCCACCTGGTCCCCTACAGAGAAAATCCCAGCTCTCAAGAGAATGACCAAGTGTGAGGGCCCTTGGTACAGCATTTACTACCACTTTCAATCCCTCCCCAACCAGTTGGGGTATAAGATACCATCTGATTGGAATATGAAAATTAAAGCATTTCTCTAACAGCACAGTACCATTGCTGAAGTTTCCATAGGTTTTCTAGTCCAAAGGTGTAAATATATATATATATATATATATATATATATATATATATTCCAAGTGTATAATATATATAATAATTTCTATATATTTTAGATAAATTACATATATATATATATATATATATATATATATATATATATATATATTTGTATATAAATAAGGTACTTTCTGTCATCATGATGTCACACCGTACGGAACTGCACGCAGCAGTACAGATAGGCAGAGATGCCGGGAGCACCTCATCGCGAGGCGCGCTGAGCTCACGTCAAAGCTGTGCGGCTGTCCAGAGTCTGTCTTTCCATCAGTCCTCCTCTCTTCTCCTCGTGTCTGCTCGATTTTTATGAAAACAATGACTCTGAAGGATTTGCACCTGTGCTAGCGCTTGGGAAAGGTCCATGCAGGAATGGGCACAGTCACATGATGAGTGAGATGGCATCGTCCCCCCAAAATAAACTCAAACAAAACAAAAGTTTAAAAAACAGAACAGGACTAGAAAACTCAATTTTTTTTGACATATCTAAAAAAGGGGACAAGAACAGTAGTCATTTGTTCTCCCCGTGGGGTCAGGAATGAAGAGGGAGGAGGGAACAGGGGCTTGACTTCTTCTGTTCACAAGAGAAAGGATGGAGGGGCTTCTTCAGAGTTTTTCAGGGGATGGGACCCAAATGTAGTGCCCAGACTGGTCCTCAATGATTTGCTTGATTTTGTTATAAATCTCTTCCAGTGAGTCACCCTGTACAATGGCTGAAGTGAAGAGAAAACAGAATTATTACTGTGGTCCACAGCACCCCCAATTCCCAGCAATATGGCCTGTCCCAACAGGTCTACAGCTCAGCCTGGCGTGCAGCGACCACATGGCCATGGAATGGGTGTCACTATGCTGCTGGCTGAGAGCCTAGTGTAGCAAGAGAAACTGGCAGGTGCTCCAAGCCCAGGGCTTGAAGTAAATTTGCTGAGACATGAGACTAAGTAGCAATGAATAGGAAAACGTATTGCTTACAAACTTTTATTGCACGCCCATTAGAGGCCAGACGCTGCAGTTCATGCTGCCCTTGGCCACATGAGGCCAGCGGCTGGCAGTTCTCAAGCAGCCATAAGCAGAAGACTGGGGAAATTCCAGTTATCCGGAGAAAGCTGGAAGCCACAATTTCTGGCTTGAGAAAGTGCTCCTGGAGCCGTTACATCTGCCTTTTCAGAGGTCAGCACGGCACAGAGGACACAGATGCTCACCGTAAAGCGAGCTCCAGAACCCAAAGATGACAGGACAGTTACAGATCCTGTCCTGGTCCATCTAGTAGCGCTCCTACTAGAGTTTACTCTGCATGAACCTGCATATACATGTCACTGCACGTGAAAAGGTAAGCAACATGCTACAGACACCCTGCCAACCTCTGAGAAACTGACCTCTGTGGTCACATGCACACACACACTGACAGACAATACCACACCAAGGAATCATCAGCAACAACAAACATGTCTTCAGGACCTCAAACATGCAAGGCCAAGTGCTGGAAGTGAGGGCAGAGCTGCACAGGACTGTAAGGAGCATCCACTCTAGTTGGTACACGAAGACAAAAAGAACAAAATGATCTAAGGCAGCACTGGTGACAGTGAGTGGTGGATACTATAAACTGGCTAACTGCTCTGGTGAGCTGCAGGGCACGTGAGTACTTCGGAAAGATATGAGCTCAAAAGCCCTCAGAAACTGTGCGAGGGGACTAAGCCTCAGGGAGACCTTTCTAGAACAGGCGCTGGCTGGGCCCACATGAGCCAGACTGGTCCTCACCTGTGAAGTACTCTCCGAACTCCTGATCCAGCTTCATGGCTTTGTCATAGATCTTATTTGCTTGTTCGTATGTCTGCCGTCGGTTCATTTCCCTGCCAATGACAGTAGAAACATGGCGCCGAACTAAATTCCATGCTCTGATCAACACAAAGGATTAGTCCAGGCTCCCTGAACACCTGCTCAGCTGCCCCTGAGAACAGCACGGCCCGTGGCTCCACTTCTTCCTCAAACCTCCCGGGTCTGAAAAAGCACCTGAGAGTGCACAGGTGGGCACTCCCATCAGGAGCCCTCAGGGGCCAGAGCTGGGGTGCGGGTCTCCCTTTGTGCTTCCACTGGGGCACCCACTGGCCCAACCAATCACTTCGTTTTCTGTTTTTTTTCCAGGGCCCTCTCCCACCCAGAGTGAGTCTCAGCCTCAGCCAATACTTACATAAGTGCTTCAATGGACTTGGGCTTGATAAAAATGGCAATGGGATAAAGTTGTGCTTGCTGCAGCCTCTTGATAGCATTGCCGGAAACATCTAGGATGCAGTGCTTGCCCTGGAAAAGCAACGACTTGCATCAGCATTCCTGGTCCCTGTCTCAGCCCAGCCCCAAGTACTTATCCAGTTAGCAACCCCAACACGCCCCCTGGGGAAGACAGAAGATTCTACCCCAGAGGTACCGAGGTGCCATATTTTCTACTACTACCCAAAAAAGGCCAGGTCCACAGAGGGGGTCCTATTCAGGTGGGTGACACTAAGAGTGAGTTGCATGGATGAGGCAGGCAGACCCACCATCCAGGGGCTGGGAATATATAGGGTGGGCATGGCTTTGGTCACAGTGCCACATGGTGGGCCCTGTGCCAGGAGGAGGAACATCCAGTGGACCTGTGGCAGGGAGCCTTCTGTGCGCCCTCTGGGTGGTACTTCACTAGCAGGGCCATCTCCTGCCCTTACCCTCTCTGCCACTGCCCGCACTGACTGGATGCTGGTCCCGTAGAGATTATCATTGAATTGGCCTGCCTCGATGAACTTGTTGTCCTGAATGTCCTTCTCCATTTGTTCTCGAGAAACCACGAAGTGGTAGTCCTGCCCATCCACTTCATTCTCACGCCGAGGCCGCGTAGTATCTGAAGGAGAAAAGGGAATGCTAGGCAGCCCACGGAGAATGGCGTGCTCCTCTCTCACCTGGTGCGGAGGCCACTCCAGTGTGAGATGAGTGGGGAAAGGAGATGGGAAGAAGTTTGTCTTGCCTACTTCTCCCCTCAGCTCAACTCTCACACACAAGGGACTATTTCTTTCAGGTTCAACTGGACCAGAAAGGTGGCGTTTCCAAGACCAAGGCTCGGCAGGGATGCCAAAGGTGATACAGGAGCCAGTGAACATGACGAGCTGTCCACTGGCCACACTGACCCTCTTAGGCTGGGACCAGCGCTTGTCCAATCATTCCTAACCATTGACACTCAACCATTTCCCAAAGGAGCAAGCAGGCCACTCTGATGTCTTAGTCCCCCCAACCCCATCAGCTTTAGGGGAAGCTAGTGCCACCTAATCTCTGCTAGGGTATTCAATGCACCCTTTCTGTAATATAGCAGAGCAACAAATCACAGGGCATCGACATCAATACCCACAGTCTTCCTGGGCTCTTACGTGGCACACAGGATCCAAACTTATGCGGGAACTCTGAGATCAGGTCATCGTTGACTCTGTCCTTCATTGGGCCCAGGATGATCACAGGCCTTGCATAGTGAACTGGAGAGAAAGCGCATGGAGATAGTGAGTGAGGCCCCGCCTGGACAGCCTGTTCTACCTGCAAGTCTGCCCAGATCACTGAGGCAGGGCAGTGTCCACAGCCATTCGCTAATTTTTAACTACAAAGACACCAAAGAGCATTTACTTTGAGACTCTGAGTCCAAGGCACCTCCCCTTCCATAAGATTCAGGAAAAATCTCTGCATGGGCTCTTTCAGAGCAGCCCCCGAAGGGACATGACCAGGACCTCCATTTTAGCAGCGGCCACAGCCACTGAAATCTCCCCCAGCCATCCTTGTCAATCCACCCTACCTTTTGGAAGGCACCCTGGCAGCGAGCACAGGAGAGGCAGGGGTGTGCGCACACTGGGAAGCCACCCTGTCTCTCACAAAGGAGGAAGGGGAAGAGGACGAAGCACCGGGGAGCTGCATGTGCCCTCCAGCTCCCCTACACCCTTCCCTGCCAGCATGGCTACCATTGTGTTGGGCCCCATATCTGCCAAGACTGTTTGGAAGGCAAGATTCTCAGAAAGCAGCTTACTTTCTTGCCGAGTTACTGGCTCATATGACAAAATAGCATCCTCTTGTCCTTCTGCAACAAAAAAGGAAATGTGTTAGCACTCCTTAATCTGCTTCCCCGGGTCATCTTCCTACAACAATCACCTCACTCCTACGTGTGTCAAAACAACCTGGTCAAGTCGTGCCTGCTCATACCTGCCCCTGGGTCTGTCTGCTTCCCGCTGGCAAAAAAGCACAGGAAGCCCCACCACCTGGAGCAGGAGCTAGTCCTTTTGTTCAACGAAATAGAGCTGAACATAGGCATGACCCAGAAATCATGACGCCTCCACCAGAAACCACCCCAGGCTTTCAGGAACTGTTCTTAAGGACAGTCACCTGTGCGCAGTTTGCCTTCTTGCTCTGATTAAGAATTACGGGGAAGCTTCAACTGGTCAAGACACACCACTCCTATCCCTGTGTCTGCAGGTCTCCAGAGCTGCAGCCTAACTTTGGCCTTTTAAGGGTCTTTCTGTTATCCCATTCACTGGAATAAGCACCCAGAAAAATGGCACAAGATTGGGGTAAGGTCCCCAGTGCCCTTTAAGGCCATGCTGAGGCCTATACTCTCCTCACTGCAGAGCTCCATGTATCCTAGTAATGAGCTTTTCCCAAAACAGTTGCCAAGCCACTGGGTGCTGAGTGCCCGGAGGTGCCAAAGCAGCTGGCAGCATTGCCAAGGAATGCAGCGAAGCTTCCACCAAGCCCAGGATGCCTGCCCACAGGCTTCCTCTGAGCCAGACTCCTGGGCAGATTTTCCAAGGCCTCTAGCCACAACTGCCAAGAGGCCAGTGCACACAAAGTTCATAGAGTTTGGTTTGTGGCTTCTCTAGCTTAGTCACAGGATCTCTTAAGGCAAAGGAGACAGTTACCTGACCATTGGACCCACGAAAAGGCAAGGACACCAAGCCTTAACCCAGGAGAGCCGGGTGACATGGCAAGGCAATTCAGGACATTATTCCACAGAAGCCATCTTTTTTTTTTTTTTTTTTTTTTTTTTTTTGGTCTTTGAGAAAATCTGTAAAATTGGCAGCATCTAAAGCCCATAATGTCCCATGGCAGGGATTTCCTCACTGGCAGCTCACCCTTCCCAGGGCCTCAGTGATGCTTTAAGCGAGGTCCCAGGCAGGATGCAGGCTTAATCCATGGCCTAACACCCATCCCAGAAGAACAAACTGGCCATAGCATGTCCAGGATCTGAAAGTGCACGTGGCTGAAAGAAGCACTAGCCTCTCAACAGAAATGGGAGCCTTGTGACGCTGGAATGAGGGTGGCTGGGACACATGGTAGAGCAACACAACATGGGGGAGAATGACACACACTTACTGGAGCTGCTTTCGCTGTCACTGGTGTTGGATGTCACTCCCTCTGCAAGCCAACAAGAAAGAGACTCCGATTCAGAACACACCCCTGACAGGTTACACGCGGCACAACACTCTACTGCTCCGGAGCAAGACACTGAGCAGTCGGCCTAGTCAGGCCACAGGAGACTTGCCACATCCAGGCTACCAACGGGGAGACACAGCTCCAAACCTGAGCCTGGCTACCGTACTAGTCCACAGAGCCTCTAGGTCTGCCAAGTCCCTCCCTCTGCACCACAAGCCCTCCGTTCTTTGGCAGCTTCCTCTCATCTGAATACAAAGAATTGGCAATGGATGCCTTCCAACTCCTATGTCAAAATGTATCTCCCAAGGGTACCAACAGGAAAGAAAAGGCAGTGACGGTAACAAAGAAAAGTCCAGGGACCAGGCAGCTCTTAAATTTTCCTCTTAGATAAAGGCCCCAAAACACAGAACTGCATGGTGCTCTTAAACAATAAGGCTAAGCACTGGGCAGGCTGCGGTGCAGTCACCAGGTAACAATGTTTTGACCGCTTGGTAGGACCAACAGCTCTCCTGCCACCACTGCCTAGAAGGGAGGGGGCGGCCTCAGCGTGAGGGGTGCTCCCCCATCCACCCGACAGACACGGCAAAAATACAGACAACGAAGAACACCTGGAGGACAAGATGGCTCTCCTGTCTCAGAGCCTTGGGACCTGCCCACATCCGGGTGTGGGTGAACAGGCACACTCACAGGAGGCACAGGCACAGTCTGGCCCAAACAAAGCCCACCCACCACTCCCCAGACAACAGACGAATGAAGATGAAGAAACATGGACACAACAAACTATGGAGAGAGACATTGCTCATTTCAGCCAAGATGACACTGTTCCAGACCATGATATGCTGTGGCCTCCAGGAAGGACTCAGCAGCCACGGCTAGTTCCTGAGCAATACTGAGGAAGCTCCTCCAAACTTCTCGCCTTTAGGGCTTACAAAGCTCGGAGAGGGTATGCTTGCGAAAGCTGCCTGGCACGGCTGCATGTGTGTGCTCTTCAGTGCACAGTGGGGGCGCTATGGCCCTGCCATCTGTGTCCCTTCATTTTCTACTCTAGGGTTATTTTCAGAGAGGAGAGGCCAGTCAGGGTTCTCCCAAGTTAAAGCACTAAATATATGTGGTCCACAAATGCCGCTGAATCTCCCTCCAGCTCAGCCCCTTAAAAATGCTCGGTAGAAAGCCAGCCTGCATCTGTTTGCTGAGTTCCTGGACCAGCTAGGAGACCCCAGATGCACGCTGGGTAAAGGGCTTCACAGCGCTCCTGCCCCTAATTAAATCGAGTGAATCAGTTCATTTTCAAGTCCAATACTTTGGTGCTGGGTCACTGGGAGAAGACTCCAACCAGCAGGCTCACCTCACCTCAACAATAGGCTAGAGATGAGCTGGGTAGTCACCCTGGAGAAGTACTTTTGCCCCCCTCACTTATAAGATGGGATGACAAGGGTTGGGCTCCCCACCACTTCAAGGTATAAAAGGAAAACATAGATATGAATGACAGGCTTTTATTAGGGGACCAGGAACCCAGAACAGAAGTATGACATTCACCACCACTTCTACTCTTCCTCTTACTGTGGCATCAGAGTTCTCACAAATAATGCCCTCCCCCTCCCCCTTCATCCTCACCCATACCCACGTCCACTACTCCCCCAACCCCAGCATCTCCATTCATGCCCAGAATACGGTGTACGTTTGACTTACTCAGGTTCTTTGCTCCATAATAATCGTCACTTAACCCAGGGAAGTCCTGATTTCACAGACAGCAAGGAAAAAGAGAGCGGGGAGGGGGGGAGGGGGAGAGGGAGAGAAAATAGAGAAAAAAAGACAGGGGAAGGAAGAATACAGAGCCAGGTGAGCATTAGTGACAGAAGTATGAAACACTATGAAGACCTATAGCTATAGCGAGGTTAAGAACTTTGCTACAGAAAGAACGTCCCAGTCAAATAAGATACCTGGACTTCATTTGCTGCTCTAAGGACTTGGGGGGGACTATCTCAGGTGGTCTACAGCCTACAGGCCATCAGGGCAGGTGGCATTCCAAGGCTTGGAGGATCTGCCTTGACTAAATTTGTCTTTATAGAGTCAGGTCTCACCTTCGCTCCTGAAATCACCATTTCCCTCTGCAGTGTGTGAAGAGCAAACACCTATGTTTGGCAGGTAGGCAGGTAGAATTGTCATCTCAAGGAGCTTTCCCCCAATACTGATTCCCTCTGCCCAAAGCCTTCAGGGAAAGCTTTATGCAGTTTGAATGGACTTCAAAGCTGACCTGAGTTGTGTAGAGCATGGGGGTTGAGTTCAGATTTCAGGGATAAGCACTAGGCAGCTTCATCTCTCACCCGACAGGTAAACTACCAATCAGCTGGGCCACTCAACAGTACACCCCTCCAGGCTCAGTACAGAGGTCCTGGGACTCATCTGGTGAACTGTGGTGACCGTCTCCTACTGCTCACAAGCAGAACCAACTACACCTCGTGCTCTTACTGAGCTCCCTGGGACAGTGAGCCATAGCCTTTCTCTGGATGAAGGTGTCCTTGTCTCTTCTAGCAACTACCCTAGATATCAATGACCTACATCTACCGTGACCATGAATCAGGTTGGCCCAGAAAAAGGGCATTCCCTACCTGAACTAGTCAGTCCCAATAGCCCAGGACCTCAAGGCCCCTCTTTGTGAGGTAGAAGAGAGGTTTATAATTCAACATGAATCACATGAGAAATATTTCACCAGCCTGAAAGGTCAGAACAGTTCATTTCTAAGACATATGTCAGAATATGAATATTCTCAGGATTAAATTGGTTCATAAAAAGTTCAGTTAGCCCTGGCCAGGTGGCTCAGTTGTTTGGAACGGCATCCTCTACACCAGTGTTTCCCAAACTTCTCTCATGATGAGAATCACCTGGTGGAGTTGTTAAACTACAGATTCCTGAATCCCAACTAAGAAGTGCTAAATTAGAATTTTTGGGAACATATAGGTAAAAAAAAGTTCCTAAAAATTCTAGTTTAGCACTTCTTAGTTGGGATTCAGGAATCTGTATTTTAACAACTCCACCAGGTGATTCTCATCATGAGAGAAGTTTGGGAAAAACTGCTTTACACCAAAAGGGTGCAGGCCCAATCCCTGATCGGGGCACGTGCAGGCAACCTCTCAATGTTTCTCTCTCACATTGATGTTTCTCTATCTCTCTCCCTCTCTCCCTTCCCCTCTCTCTAGAAAAAAAAAAAGAAAAGAACCACACACACACACATACATATTCTCATGTGAGGATTTTTATTAAAGTTCGTTTATCTCAGCTATATAGTATTTTCTACCAAAGCAGCTTCATATTTCTCAATAAATCTTTATTTTGACAATGCTGAGTAGTCCCCATTCCATGTCAATTCCTTCAGGAAGAAGGATTTATTCTGAAAGCTGGCTCTGTAATCACTCTGGGACAATATGGGTCTGTTAGAGCCACTTGGACATCCTATGTGTGATTCAAGAGGTAGGCACGATTCCAGCGAAGAAAAGGCTCTTCTCTTGACATAGGTGAGTGAAGTTAAGGGAAAGAAAACACAAGAGGAGGAATCCAGGAGAGCAACATGGAGTCCCTAGACCTGGTTCTCTTGAAAATCCAGTTTTCCAAAGCTGGCACCGTGGCTGAGAACTGCTCACTGCCACCACAACAGAGCTCAGCCTGGCACTCCCAATGCCAGTACCAGCACTTTCTAGAAGGCCAGCCCCAGAACCATTCCACTCAGAGCCTCCAACATTCCCTTAGAGTGACGAGCTGGACAAAAAGACCCAATGTCTCACTGTGCAGACCAACTGCTACCTTGACTCTGCCAACAAGCAGGTACACATGCACACACATGCACACATGGACACGCCAGCACACTCATGTTCCCAGTCCTCTCACAAGGGGAGGTGCAAATGAGAAAGAGGGCGGGGCTGCACGCCAGCTGCTCTCTGTACCCTGCTGCTACTTACGTTCCTGTATGCTGCTCTCCTGGGCCATGTTTTCTTTGCTCTTGTAAAATGGGAACTTTCGAGAGAGGCGGAAACTCTTTTTACGTTTCGTTTTGATCGACTGTGAAAGAACATGAAGATGGAGGGGAAGGACAGGAGAAGAAAAAAACAAAACAATGGATTTTAAAGCATGCAAGAAAAACTAAAATGGAGACAATGGTGAGCTAAATAAAAGACCATTTTTCACAAATGGAGTCTATGAGATTAAATGAAAGTTGATGTAAGAGGAAAATTATGTTTACAGGAAAATGTTGTAGGGGTGTTAGACGTTTCTACCTAATCCAGACTCGCAGCACTCACTGGTACTTCTTAAAGCACAAAGGTCACTGTAGCCACCTGGACACGTGCCCTAAGATGCCACTGATAGCTTCCCTCTACCACTACCATCGAAACTTCTTTGGCCTGTGAAGCTCAGAGAAGAACAGGAGTGAATGGAAAGAGCCCTCGAGCCTCATTTGGTCTGAAGGGCAGTCAGAGCTATGAAGCTGCCTCCCTGGCTAGATGATGAGGCCAGATTCTGGTCAGGGTCCCCACAGTTCCAACAGTGTCTGCAGCCAGGGAGGCACCCAGAGTGGCTTCACGTGCCCCGAGCCAGTCAGCCTTGCAGACACTCCGACTCCAACACGTCAAGAGCCAGTTCCCCACACGCAGGCCGGGGAGTTTGAGGGCCCTCTCTCTGTTCTCAGAAAAGCAATCAGTATGCTGATAGGACAGAGCCATTCCCAGACAAAAAAAAAGGATTCTTTTGTTGTCCCCAGTGCTCTTATCCACCACACAGCCTCCAAGCTTCTTACTCTTCTTCACATATTGGCTGACTCCCTTGGGAATCCCCACTTACCCTGTTAGACTCAATCATGCCCGTCCTGGCATGGAACTTCACGGTTTTCAATCGAGCTCTTTCTTTCTTTTCCACTCTGTTTTGGAGACAAAAACAAATCCTATTACTGCCAGTGCATAGTTTCAGCAGTGGATGCAATGGACACAGCAGCCATTTTTTGGCTCATTGAGTCAGAACCATGTCCTGAGCACCAACTCTCTACCAAAAAGGAATAATAAAGTGAACCCCCTGCAAGCAACTTACAGTATAATCAGCAGAAAAGAAATCAGTACCGAGGAGAGGATAGGAAGGCCCCTCTCGTTATCATGACAACTCACCTCTTCTTACTGGGGATCACACCGATTTGCTCGCTTTCTCCATGTGGGGTCACCAGTCTTGCCTGCCACCACTCATCATCAGAGGCATTAATAACGTGCAGAATGTCACCATAGGAGAAGCTGAGCCCCTGGCTTGGCAGGCAGCTGTCCCGTGTCCGGTCATAATCAAACAGGGCCCTGAAACACAGTGGAAGATGAAGTGATCATTGTAACCCTTAATGCCAGGTGGCCGGCACTCTGAAAGGATGGCATTGGAAGGCCAACACACAGAGTCAGCGCAGATCCAGCAGCCTCACAGCAGCCCAGAAAAAAATTCTTTTGTTAGCCTGAAATTAATTAATATTCCAGGTTCTCAAACATTTTATTCCCCATCAAGAAACAATCTTTCTGATTCCCATCTCTTCCCAGCTTCCGGACCCAAGAAGACACTCAATAAACCTCTCCCTCACCCACATCCTAGGGAAACAAATTAGCTCTACCAATGGGCTTTCTCAATTTACAAATGTATCCTCAAAAAGCAGTTAAAGAAAGGACATAAAAAATGTTAACTGCAACCCCAAGCAATGAATAGCACAGAATGGTGTTCAATGCTATAGAAACACAAGAGAAAAGGGCCCTGTGTCCTGGGACAGCCAAGGAAAAAGTTAAGGCTGATGCTGACCCACATGATGATAAAGTTAAAAGGGACTCTAAGAAGGCTCCTAGTTCGCATCCACAGGCAGCAAAATCTCAGACATATGCCAAAAGAATTTATTCACTGATACAGCCCACAGGGCAATGGAAGCTAAAGAGAAAATAAACAAATGGGCTACATCAAAATAAAAAGCTTTTTTACAGCAAAAGAAACCATCAACAAAACAACAAGAAAGCCCACTGTATGGGAGAACATATTTGCAAATGTTATCACTGATAAAGGTTTAATCTCCAGCATGTACAGACATTTTATACAACTTAATAAAAGGAAGATAAATGACCCAATTTAAAAATGGGCAATGGATCTAAATAGAATCTTTTCAAAAGAAGACAGAAGGAAGGCCAAGAGGCACATGAAAACATGCTCAAAGTCACTATCTGAGAGATGCAAATCAAAACGACAATGCGGTACTATCTCATACCTACCAGAATGGCTATCATCAACAAATCAACAAACGACAAGTGTTGGCGAGGATGCGGAGAAAAAGGAGCCCTAGTGCACTGCTGGTGGGAATGCAGACTGGTGCAGCCACTGTGGAGAACAGTATGGGGTTTCTTCAAAAAACTGAAAATGGAACTCCCATTTGACCCACTAACACTAATCCCACTCCTAGGAATATATCCTAAGAAACTAGAAACACCAATCAAAAAGGATATATGCACCCTTTTGTTCATAGCAGCACAATTTACAATAGCTAAGATTTGGAAACAGCCTAGGTGCCCGTCAGCAGATGATTGGATCAGAAAACTATGGTACATCTACACAATAGAATACTATGCTGCCATAAAAAAGATGGAATTCTCATCATTTGCAGCGATCTGGATGGAATTGGAGAACATTATACTGAGTGAAATAAGCCAGTCAATGAAAGAAAAACACCATGTGATCTCACTCATTTATGGATAATAAGGAACAGTAAAAACTGATGAACAAAAAGATAGATACAGAGACAGTAAAGCAACAAACAGACTGTCAAATTACAGTGGGGAGGGGAGGGAGATCTGGGGGAGATAAGAGATCAACCAAAGGACTTGTATGCATGCATATAAGCATAACCAATGGACGCAAAACTCTGTGGAGGTAGGGTGTGTATGGGAGTGGGGGGGGGGATTGGTAAGATATGTACACATATAATACCTTAACAAAAAATGAAAGAAAGAAAAAAAGGTCTCCTAGTTCAGTCTGTCTACCTTTCTGTGTAATATATACATTTAAGGAAATACACTGAGTGCCAGATTATTATAATCTCTGAACACATAATAATCTGGCCACTCAATGTATATCCTATATAATAAAAGGCTAATATGCAAATTGTCCGACCAAATGCCCATGTCCCCTCCCCCTGGCCAGGCTGTCTGGACCCCACCCATGAATGAATTCATACACCGGGCCTCTACTACACACACACACACACACACACACACACACACACACACACTGAATGGCCAGATTATTATGCATTCAGAAATCATAATAATCTGGCCATTCAGTGTAGAAGTACAGAGAAGAATAATAATTTTATATAGATCACAGAGCTAAGTAACGTGGGACAGAAGTCAGGTCCTGTGACAAGCCATGCAGAGCGAAGTAATAAAGGGGACAGTGGGAGAAGGTGGGGAGGGAGCTGTTATACCATGCAGGCCTGAGAAAAAGGAGGTGCAGCTAGGAGTCATACAAAATAAGGTTGGAAATAAAGGTCGAAAACACATTTTAGAAGGCCTCTGAAGATTTGAGAGTAGAGAAGTGATACTTTAAGACAGACTTATGAACATAAAGCTGACTTCATATGTAATGGGATAACAGGGTGGAGGTGGATTTGAAGGCAAATTTAGACTGAAGCTACAAGCTCAATCCTGGAGGATACACAACTGACTTGGGCTCTGGTGAAGCTTGTCCTTTACACCAGAGCTCCTGCCCAGGGAACAAGTCACCTGCATGAAAGTGTCTCCTTTTAGCCTCCACTGCATCTCTCCTCATATGGAGTTCCCACAAATGGGTGGGTTTAGTGAGAAGTTTGTATTTTTCTACTTGCAAACCTACGTTCTGGATGTCTTCTTCATTTTCCCATTAACACCTCTGCACACACAGCCTGGTGGATTTCCCAGAACTAGTCCAAGACTTAGACAACTACCTGCAATAAGGTGTGCTAGGACTCAGATGGAAGCTGCCAAGGAAAACACACTATTTCCTCATCTGCAGACCCAAATGGAATACAGAATATAGTAAAAAAACAAACAAACAAACAAAAAAAAAACACACACACAAAAAAAAAACACAACCTGTGGATACTGAAATACCCATTGACTTTTGAAACTTCTTGAAACAGAATCCTTAAGAAATCAGTGTCCGGCCTAGCTGGTGTGATGCAGTTGGGTGATCATCATTATGCATCAAGAGGTCACTGGTTTGATTCCTGGTCAGGGCACATACTCGGGCTTCAGGCTCAATCCCCATTAGGGGTATGCCAGAGGCAGAGATTGATGATATTTCTCTCTCATTGATGTTTCTCTCTCTCTCTCCCTCTTCCTTCCTCTCTCTCTAAAATCAATAAAAAACATTTTAAAAAAAGAAATCAGTGTCAGATTATTTAAAAATGGTAATACCCAAACTCTGAAGAAAAGCCCTTTATCTCCCTTGTCAAGTTACACATTCAGACTAGTAAGAAGAGAGGCCAAGGCCAGCAGGTGAAGGAGGTGCTTGCTCTGTCTCAGATTCTGAGTTCTGTTGTGACACAATCAAATCTGAATGTGTTTGTGCTGCACTTCAGATTGCATTTCCTGAAGCAAGGAAGGCTTTCTGGAAGTTGTTCTTACAAAGATGAGCACAGTGATGACGTTATTCTAAGTGACAATGAGAAACACTTAATAGCATTATGAGCTTCGAAGGTCAAAACAAATGTAATAAAGAAAACAACAGAACTTGGATGAAGCACCAATTAGTTTGGGGAGGGATTAAAGCAAGATGTTAAAATGACAAAGAAAAATTGGGATGAACCAGGACCGGTTTGGCTCAGTGGTAGAGCGTCGGCCTGCGGACTGAAAGGTCCTGGGTTCGATTCCGGTCAAGGGCATGTACCGTGGTTGCGGACACATCCCCCGTAGGGGGTGTGCAAGAGGCAGCTAATTGATGATTCTCTCTCATCAATGTTTCTAACTCTCTATCCCTCTCTCCTCCTCTCTGTGAAAAATCAATAAAATATATTTTTTTAAAAATTGGGATGAGGTTGTAGAAGATTAGAAGGGAGTTTATTGGTTACAAACTTAAAGCACAAGAAAATGGGTGAATAGGCAAGGAATTAATATTTTTATATATGCTATAACAATATTTGAGGTTTTAAACTATTCATTAATTTCATTAAAAGTTAAATTAAAATAATAAGCTCATTATAGAATATTTTAAAAATATTTTCCTTGTTTAAATATTTTTAAAGTATTTATTGAATTTATCTGGGTAATACTGGTTAATAAACTTATATAGGTTTCAGTTATACAATTCTATAATACATCATCTGTATATTGTATTATGTGTTCATCACCCCAAGTCAAGTCTCCTTTTACCACCATATATTCCCTTTATACCATCTTCTATCTTTCCTCACCCCTGTTTCCTTCTAGTAATCATCATAAAGGGTTGTCTGTGTCTATGAGTATTTCTTTTTGCTTCACCCTTTTCACCCAGCCCCTAACCACCTCCTCTCTGGCAGCTGTCAATCTATATCTAGAATCTGTTCATATTTTGTTTTAGTTTGTCCATTAGATTCCGCATATAAGTGAAATCATGTGGTACTTGTCTTTCTCTTACTGGCTTGTTTCATTTAGCATAATACTCTCCAGGTCCATTCATGCTGCTGCAAAAGGTAAGGAAAAAATCAGGTCTAAGAAAAGAAAAATCACATTTAACATTACTTAGAAATAACCACTCTTTGGCAAATATGTTCTCCCATGCAGTGGGCTTTCTTGTTGCTTTTGCTGTGCAGAAGCTTTTAATTCTGATGTAGTCCCATTTGTTTATTTTCTCCTTAGTCTCCATTGCCCTAGGAGTTGAATCAGGTAAAGACATTGCTATGGCATATGTCTGATATTTTGCTGCCTATGGAGTCTTCTAAGATTTTTATGGTTTTCTGTCTTACATTCAAGTCCCTTAGCCATTTTGAGTTTGTTTTTGTGTATGGTGTAAGTTGGTGATCTAGTTTCATTTTTTTTGCATGTATCTGACCAAACTTCTCAGCACTATTTATTAAATAGACTGTCTTGACTCATTGTATGGTCTTGCCTCCTTTGTCAAATACTGAGCATAATGGCTTGGGTTCTCTGTTCTGTTCTGTTCCATTGGTCTATATGTCTGTTCTTGTGCCTGTACCAGGCAGTTTTGAGAACCGTGGCTTGGTAATATAGCTTGATATCTGGTATTGTGATATCTCCAACTTTGTTCTTCTTTCTCAAAGAACGCATACAACTTAACAAAATGAAGATAAACAATCCAA